TTGGCTGTGCTGAAATAACAGAGAAAAGCAGGTAGCCAATACGCATGCAGAAGACAGACTAGGCCAAAGCTGCTATTACCTTTCTGTAAAATTGGTAACAGGAAAAAGAACAGTGGACTCTGTCAAAAGCCCTGGAAATTATAAAGTCAATTAATAAATATAATAAGTTGTTACTGGTAACTGCTGCCCACTGTTGAGTTCATACTGTGTCCCATCATCCTAACCCATACCTCTCTCATTCTCTACACCTCTGTCAAGTTATTTTATGGTATGTCTGTTCCCACTCTCCTAAATAATAAAGGTTCAACTAGATAGTCCATATATAGTTCAATTTTGTATCTTCTGTAGTAGACTTTTTTTTTTTTTTTTTTTTTTTTGAGATGGAGTCTCGTGTAGCCCAGGCTGGAGTACAGTGGCACAATCTCGGCTCACTGCAGCCTGCACCTCCCGGGTTCAAGTGATTCTCATGTTTTGCAGCCTCCTGAGTAGGTGGGACTACAGGCGTGTGCCACCATACCTGGCTAATTTTTGTATTTTTAGTAGAGATGGGGTTTCACCATGTTGGCCAGGCTGATCTTGAACTCCTGACCTCAAGTGATCTGCCCACCTAGGCCTCCCGAAGTGCTGGGATTACAGGTGTGAGCCACTGCACTCAGCCGTGTATCTTCTGTAGACTCTACCTAAGACCTTGCTCATAACTGATTCCCAGTCAATGTTTGTGGAATTCAATTAAATAATACATTTTCCTGCAAACTAAAACCACAAAGAGATACAATTTCACACTCACTGTGATGGCTATAATCTAAAACAGACAATAAATACTGGTGAGGATGTGAAGACACAGGAAACCACATACATTGCTGGTAGGAATGTAAAATGATACACCATTTTGGAAGACAATTTGGCAGTTTCTTTAAAAGTTAAACATGCTTACTGTATAATCAAGAAATCCCATTCCTAGGTATATACATGTATACACAAGAGAAATGAAAACATAAACCCACATAGATTGGTATGGTATGAATACATATCAACTTTATAATAGTGAAAAAGTGAAAACCACTCAAATGTTTATCAACTGACTTAATATTTAAACAAAATACATGACATATCCATACAACAGAATATTCAGCAATAAAAAAGAATGAAGTACTGGTATGTGCTACAACATGGATGAACCAAAAAATATTATGCTAAGTGAAAAAAGCCAGATACAAAAGACCATCTGTCATAGGATTCCATTTATATGAAATGTCCAGAATAGGTGAATCTATTAAGATAGAAAATAAGTTAGTAGCTGCCTGAGGCTGGTGATGAAAATGGGCAATAACTGTAAATGAACAAGAAGGATCTTATTTGGATGATGAAAATGTCCCCAAACTAGATTATGGTGATGGTTGTACAACTCATAAAAATCATTAAATTACACAAGGAAAATAAGTTGATTTGATGGTATATAAGTTACACCTCAGTAAAGTTGTTTTTAATGAGAGCATTTTCCTAAAATAAACAAACAATAGAAATTATAACCAAAAAGGTGTTTTAAAACATTTAGCTAACTACTGAGAAAAGGAAGATACAGAATGGAGGGAGCAGAGATGGAAGCTAGACTTCTCTGAACACAATTTGTATTTAACTTTTTAAAATTTCCCTTTGGAACAATGTAAATGATCTACATAATGTAAGGTAAAATTGAAAGGAAAAAAGCAAACCCCCAGAACTGAAAGCAAATAAAAACAAATGAACCTTAATTGTGTATTGAATTTGTGGCTTAACAACAACAGAAAGAAATTATTTCAAGTGACTTTAAAATATAGTAATTTGTGGCTGGGCCCAGTGGCTCATGCCTATAATTCCAGCACTTTAGGAGGCTGAGGCAGGAGGATGACTTGAGCCCAGGAATTCAAGATTAGCCTGGGCAATATAGTGAGACCCCCATCTACTTTTTCAAAATAATAAATAAAATAAAATATAATTATTTGCACGTCCTTAGAAAGTATACACTAAGGACAAAAAGAACTGCAATGCAATAATAAAATTCTAAGTAATCATACTGCTAACAATAACATTCACATTGTTACTTGGATTCAAATATATTACAAGTAATACATATGACTTTACAGATCTCTGTGTGTGTAGGAAAAGAGTAGGTAACAACATTACTGTTAAGATCAAGATTTTCAGTATAAGAAAAAAAAAGATAGAAATATAAAGTCAAATAAGTTAAATAAAACCCTGCAATCCTAAATTTGAATTCGAAATATCAGCACAAATTCATGGGCTTTTTTTGTTTGTTTGTTTGGTTTCTTGTTATTGTTGTTGTTTAGAGATAATACAAGTATTGCCTAGTTCTGTTCATAGAAAAAGCCTAGAAATAATAGGCAACCGGCCGGGCGTGGTGGCTCACGCCTGTAATCCAAGCACTTCGAGAAGCCGAGGCAGGTGGATCACCTGAGGTCAGGAGTTTGAGACCAGCCTGGCCAACATGGTGAAACCCCGTCTCTACCAATAATATAAAAATTAGCTGAGCATGGTGGCACACGCCTGTAATCCCAGCTACTTGGGAGGCTGAGGCAGGAGAATCGCTTGAACCCGGGAGGCGGAGGTTTTGGTAAGCCAAGATGGCATCATTGCACTCCAGCCTGGGCAACAAGAGCAAAACTGTGCCTCAAAAAAAAAAAAAAAAAGGAAAGAAAGAAAGAAATAATGGGCAACCTAGGAGCATTCAGACTGTGGTCAATAAATAAAGAACCAGTTCCTAGGAGAAATTGAGAATTTCAGGCCTGGGACAGAAAATATAAAAAAAGAGTCTGGAACACCTCATCACACAAGAAATAAAGGAAATTATCAAAGACCACTGTGGTTATGCCAAAGGACTCAGAGTCAACGTGAAAGCCTCTTTCCAGCCAAAGATGGAGCTATTTGATTTTATTAAGAAGAAGAGTAACTGTATTTGATTGGAACAACATTAAGTCTGTTTAAAAATCCGTGAGTCACAGTGATATTTTAAAAAATGATGGTGAACAAAGAAACTATTATTGGTCACCTTTGGAGAATCTTAGGGAACCAACTAATTATTCTGAAAACTAATAAATAGAAAGAAATAAAATTTTTAAATGCTTCAAAGAAATGTTTTTTCTGGCCGGGCGCGGTGGCTCATGCCTGTAATTCCAGCACTTTGGGAGGCTGAGGCGGGTGGATCACCTGAGGTCAGGAGTTCGAGACCATCCTGGCCAACATGGTGAAACTCCATCTCTACTAAAAACGCATAAATTAGCTGGGCGTGTTGGCAGGTGCCTGTAATTCCAGCTACTTGGGAGGCTGAGGCAGGACAATCACTTGAACCTGGGAGGCGGAGGTTGCAGTGAATGGAGACTGTGCCATTGCACTCCAGCCCGGGCAACAAGAGCAAAACAAAATGTTTTTTTCTATTTAAATATTTGTTATGGCCTGGTGCAGTGGCTCACGCCTGTAATCCTAGCACTTTGGGAGACCGAGGCAGGTGGATCACCTGAGGTCAGGAGTTCGAGACCATCCTGGCCAACATGGTGAAACTCCATCTCTACTAAAAACGCATAAATTAGCTGGGCGTGTTGGCAGGTGCCTGTAATTCCAGCTACTTGGGAGGCTGAGGCAGGACAATCACTTGAACCTGGGAGGTGGAGGTTGCAGCGAGCCAAGAACACATCATTGTACTCCAGCCTGGGCAAGAAGAGTGAAACTCCGTCAAAAAAAAAAAAAAAGAAGAAGAAATTAATTTAGTTGTAGTAGTTGGGGTGAATAGAGACAGTGAATAAATTCTCCTTACCTCACATCTATGAGACTAACATTGGGCACTCACAGTGAGGGCAGGTTTGTGGCCAAAAAACAAACAAATTTCTCTAAAAGCTCCTCTGTTCAGAAGAGTTCCAAAGGGATAACTGTAGTCCTCCATGAAAGCTCAACAAAGTTTCCCATTCTGCCAAGGCACACCTGCCAAGTTCATGTTCCTGGTTATCCCCATGCCCAAAGCTTGCCTGAGGATACCCTGTGGTTCCACAAAAATACATGTTACCACCACACAATCCTAGCCCTATCCATGCTGGTGACTGCCAGCATTGGTTCCAAACTAGAGCTTCAAGAAACAAGCTAAGCACTCAGCTTTTTCTCTCAGGAATTCAGGGACACCTGTTGTTCTATCTTTAACCAGCAGGTAGCGCCAACTCCCCAGCTAGGATGTCACCTTGGCCTAATCCCTGGAGTCAGACCCTGCCTTCTCTTCCCACTAGCTGAAGAAATGCTCCCTTCTAATGCATCAGCCTCATGTGCAGCAACTGGGTATCAGAGAGCTATCTGAGAAATAGCTTTGTTTGGTTGACCTAAAAGGGATGTAAAAGAACAGCCTTTTTATAAAAATAGGGCTGTACATTTCCAAGAGTAATTCAGATCTAAAAAGGATTTGCCTTCTTAGGAAGAGGAAGGCCATGTGACCATGTGAACATTCAAGATGCTCTTGGGTGTGATGGCCGCTGCAAGGTTGTGCTTGTCAGCACATATACAAATCCAGATACTAAAGTATTATAATTAACAGGGCTTGTTTAAAGGTTATGAGATGAGGAAAAGTCTACATTAGAGCAGGATTATGAACCTTCACTTCACCCTTCTAAAGCATCAACACCAACAGCTTTTCTCAACCCTCATATTCTGAGTCCTTCAAGAGCCTCATTTTGATTCAGCTGAGCAAAAACAGACCTCTAATAATCAGACTGCTGAGGGCAGGGCCAAACCACAAATGGGTAAAAAAAAATCCCTCCATTTCATTAAGCAAATAATTAGGAAGTTCCGGGTTTACGAACAGCTTGTCTCCAGACCAATCTTAATTTTCCTTTCCAACTCCCATCCACCTTTGTTCACTGCCATATAGACAGAAGGAAGGCTCAATGCTGTCTATGCAAGGCAGTGCAACTTTCTAGGCCATGTCCAAATCAAGCAGCAGGAATCCCAAACTTCACATACCCTACCTGGAAATGCAAAATAATGGTCCAGATCAGACCTAGGGTCAACTTGGGGTTGCCATCTGTGATGTCATCATTGCGAATATTCACTAGTTTCACCTGAAAAAGAAACAAAAGCAAGACTCAGAGAGGACTTTTTGTTTTGATTAAATTTTTGCATCATTTCATTATTAATTTATAGTTAAACTGATTTCTTTCTTGGTGTACAGTTCTATGAGTTTTAACACATGTATAGATTCATGCAACAACCACCACAAAACACTTTCATCACCCCAAAAAGGTCCCTTGTGCTGGCCCCCTCCTTGTAGTTAAACCCAACTCTCACTCCTAATTCCTGACAACCACTGATCTGATCCTGATCCCTTGTTTTGCTTTTTCCAGAGTGCGGCATGCAACATTTTGAAACAGACTTTTTATTTCTCTCAGCATAATGCCCTTGAGATCCCTATCCAAGTTGTTGCATGAATCAACAGTTTGCTCCTTTTGATCGCTGAGTAGTATTCCATTATAGAGATATGCTACTCTTTGTTCACCCATTCATCCATTGAAGGGTATGTGAACTATTTCTAGTTTTTGGCAATTATGAATATTCATGTGCAGGTTTTTGTGTGAGCATAGTAATTTCTTTAGGGTATATTCCTAGGAGTGGGATTGCTGGGTTATATGATATATGATTAGCTTTATAAGAAGTCATCAGTGTGGCTATGCCATTTTGCATTCTCACCAGAAAATCAACCTCACAAGCACAAGGTATTGTGGGTCACTTTTTTATTGCCATCAGGTCCAAGATTTCTCTTTCTTTTTTGCCTTTTTTTTTTTTTTAAGGTTCTGAGAGAGAAAGACAGAAAAGAGAGATGCCTCTCTTCTCTCACCAGTCTTTGGCCTGCTCTCACCTCCATTATCCCATCTTTGTCACAGATATCCATACTGCCATGCCTCCCGCAGCACCTGCTTTACTCCTAAAATCTCATCGCCGCAACACAATGTGCCCTGACACACCCTCTCCCCAGGCTGACTTACTGCCCCAGTGTGCTCGGAACTGAGGAATTTCCTGGGATGTGGAACTTTAAAACTGGGAGTGTCCTGGGCAAACCACCCTACTTCTACTTCACCTCTGTTAGCCTCCTCTATCATACCCTCAGAGTCCTGAGACACAGTCTCCTTCAGCTGTCCTCCCTTTATCTCTTCTTTTGAACTGAAATTTGTGTGTCTCAAAAGGACCCTATCAAATGGAAGCCTCATTTCTCCCTTACAATGACATTCATCTGGGCAAGTTCTTTCCCTTTTCTGTATCTTGGTCTCCTCTTCTATAAGGTGGGAGTGGGGTGGAAGTGGGAAAACCTGTCCCCTCCCCAAGAATTCAGTTTTCCTAGTCACCAACAGTCGACAGTTGGTGGGTTACCAGTACCAGCCAAGTCCACATTCCTCAGTCCTACCTCTGTCAGCTTTCCCCTTTCATTGTGAAGTCTACAAACTTTGGCCAAACCACCTTCTAATCTCTGCTAACCTTTTTCTCAATGACCTCAGTACCTAGCACCTATTCTCTTTTCCTGCCTCATCATCTACCACCTTTCCTGGAAATTTAGCATTTATATTGATGTCCCAAATGTTACCCTATCTGCACAAATTGCCTGCCTTTTGAATTCTGATGACTTTTATTTTTCCCTACCTTGGCCATCTGCACAGCTACATCTTGGACTTTTCCAGTACCAAGAACTGTTCTAGTAATCTCCCTGCCCTTCTTTGAATCCAGTGTTCTTACTTGGCCACGTTTTCATTCTATCATAGTAACCAAAGTTACTTTTTGTCCTGATTTAGACTTCCAGCTAATCAATTCTTCTCATAAACTCTGCCCAGTAAGGTCCCCACCCTTTTCCTCTAGCTCCACACACAGGCATTTCAATGCTGCTTTCTCCCAGTACCCTAAACATTTCAGCAACCTCCACTTCTCCTACCACCTTTCATTTATCAATTTATTTCAGCAAATATTTATTAAGTGCCAATTGAGGACCATTCACTATGATAGATGAAGGTAAAATGTTAAGATCTTATTCCCCGTCCTCACAGAGCCTACAATGCATTGGAGCAAACAGAGAAACAAGAAGAAAGTAAGAAATGTTATATCAGAAGTAAATTGTTATGAGAGCAAACAGAGAATTTTCTAAGTTAATGAGAATTACTGATAAGAGTGACAAAAATGAACTGACTCCAAAAATATGCATACCATTTAATGTCATGTTGACCCTGTTGTTGCTTGGCAACCATAGATATCCCAAATATTTTCCATACGGCTCACTCTAAGCAGATGAACTCTTTGACTCCCTCATCCATCATCTTTCTACCACAAACCGTCTCTGTATCTTCACCCCTCCCTCTGTCATTCTCCTTGTCTCTCAGAAGAAGAAGAAGAGATGTTTTTCTTTTCTTTTTCAAAGATGGCCACACCAGTTGTGCTCTGCTTCTCATCCATCAATCCCTGGATTTGGTTCCCTCAGTTAGGAAGCAAAGGAGGAAGGGTGCTGTGTAGGAAGCAGCATGGATAGTGGAAGGTGCACTAAACTGCATGTCAGAAGGCCTGAGTTAAAGTCCCAGCTTTGCTCTGACTTGTGATTTGAGGCAGGTCATTTACCTGTCCGGGTCTCAGTCTCTTTATCTATAAGAAGAAACTGGACTAGTATAATGTTAAGGTATCTTCTCGGTGAAACGTTCTGTGACTACTAATACTCCTCCTCATGCTCATTTTCAATCTTACTCTCTTCATTGGCTCCTCTTCCTATGTCTAAAAATGGGTTGTTGTCTTCCTCATCTAGGGAAGGAAAAACTTATTTCTCCCTTCATATATCTAGGTCTACTATACTCTAAATATCTTTCTCCTGTATTAAACTGCTCACTTAAGTTATCAATGCTTAACAACTTAGACTTTTTCTCAGATCTGATGTGGCATTCAACAATCCACACCACCCCCTTATCTCATTTTCACCGTGATATACCAATTTGGTCCTCTCTCTTCCTGGATGCTACACCTCTTTTCCATCTCTTTTCTAGTTTATTTTTCATCTTCATTTTGACCCCCACCTAAAGTGGGTCCACAAAATTCCATCTTTATCATCATGTTCTTCTCTGTGAACATTCTTCCTCTCAAGGAGGTCACAAATTCTGTGTAAGGAGTACTGAATGATTTCTCTAACCAGAATACAATTGCTCGCTAGCAAGTTAAGACTCAGAACTGGGTCAATCAGATTTAGCATTTACTGAGAGCTTACAAGGGGCACTAAAAACATCTCTAAATAGGGCCCCAATGCCAACACAGCCTGGAAGAATGGGGAAGGCATGTGATGGTCTTACCTGTCGCTGCTTTAGGAAGTCCAGGGCAATCTGCACATTCTGCAGCCTATGAAAACGCATCCTGCCCTTCTCCCGGGGCTGCAAACAAACAAACAAAAGGGATGTTAATTCTGGCTACACAATTTAACCATACAGACCCTTTCTCTTTTATTTCAAGGACTAAAGGACCACACAAGAATTCCTCACAGTAGAAGCCAGGTGTGGGAGCATTACATAAAGCACCCCCTAAGACCAGGCCCGTATGTGTTTCGACCAGGCTCTCTGAGGTCCCCAACATGCCTTGTGTACCACTACGCATCTCACAAACACAGAATACTGTTTGACCACTAATGCTGAATCAATGCCACAGCTTCTGTTCAGGTTCATCTGCAGTCACATGTGGCAGAACTCGATTCTGGATGTGAGGTTAATGGGAACAGACTTTGGCTCTATGGCTCCTAAAATCACAGTTAAATGCTATCGTAGAGAAAGGGTGGAAAGTCCTAATTACATATTGCACAGTAGTAGATGGAGTCAGCCTTATTACAAACATGGCAAAAGGAGCTCAAGATAGCCAATTTTTGGCCAAGTGCAGTGGCTCACACCTATAATCCCAACACTTTGGGAGGCTGAGGCAAGAGGACTGCTTGAGCCCAGGAGTTCGAGACAAGCCTGGCCAACGTGGTGAAACCCCATCTCTTCATTGGCTCCTCAAAAATTAGCCAGGCATGGTGGCACATGCCTGTAATCCCAGCTACCTGGGAGGCTGAAGCACAAGAATCGCTTAAACCCAGGAGATCGAAGTTGCAGTGAGCCAAGATCATGTACTGTACTCCAGCCTGGGAGATGGAGTGAGACTCTGCCTCAAAAAAAAAAAAAAAACCAGATAGCTGATTTTTAACCATAGGAAATGAGAAATTACATATGCTCAAGAAACAAGTGAAAAAATCCAAAATGGGAGGCAAAAATTAGGAAGTAACCAGTTTCCCAGGAACATAGCTGTCACTGAAGGGCACCCTTTACCTCAGCATGAAATACCCAGAGCAAACAAAACTTTGATAGTGTAGGGCTGTCAACATAATTACTCCTGAGAAAGTTATGCCAGTCACTCAATCCCAGATGTCATACAACCCATTGGAGAGAAGCCCATCTCTATCCAGTGCCTCTGGTACCCTGTCCAAGGCTCAACTATTACCAGTCAGAAAGTGAATGCAGTCTCTTTGCCTACTGAGTATCGCAGAAAGGGATATCTACCCCTAGAACATTTTCTTCTGCTTACTTTCTAATGTTGCTTTTATTTTACTAAAATTTGGACTGAAATATCACTCTCACTATGTTATATCCACTTTTTTGTAAGTGTCAAATTGGCACTAATTAAAGGCTGATAAAATATAAGGTAGCTCTGTTGCGGGTGTCTACACAGAGAAAAACATTGCTCCAAATTAAAATGGGCAAAAAGTAGCCTAAACACGGAGAGATAAAGATGGAAGCATCTTCTGGGCACTCTCCAACACTTTTAAGCAACACTTCTCAAATAGGAGAATCTGTACACAGAGATGTCAAGGCCTCTCTGGGTACAGGATAACTTCTTTAGTCAAAGGTTTAAGAAAAATCTTTTTAGTAAGAACCTTTTCTCAGTCATTTCAGCTAAACTAATTGTGAATATGGCTAGAAGATGATAGTGCCTATAAAATGGAAGATTCTAAGGCAATGAGAAGGGAGACAAAAGGTATTTTAAAAATGATTTTAAGAGGACAGAGAATGAGGATATTGCCTAATTCTTGTTTCTGGAAAAAGATTTTGGCCTATAATTTAGGGCCTGCAGGCAGAATGTACTCCTCTTATACCCTAATCTTTACTCATATGTACCCCTCACCAAAAATAAATACCCTAAGAACATGCAAGTTAAATCTCTGTCCTCTATAGCAACTAGATATTATTGAGCAAAGCCAGAGTATCTCCATGCAGTGAGTTTGCAAACAGGCTGTTTTGAAAACAAATGACAGGGTGTATGATGAGAACCTAGAGGCCAGAGAGGTGGAGAGTACCAGTTAGTCTGGACTGTGGAGCTGTGAGCAATTAATTGTCATGCTGTCAACTAAATTTTCCACAATTCTGCAATCTGGACTCAGAAAACACAGCAAGGCCACCAGAAACCTATGGATCTCCAGGTCAGAAGGGAACTTGACACCTCCAAAAACCATTATTCTTTTTGTGCCAACTCTTCTCAGCTAAGAAAAACAATTCCCAGTCCACAAGCATCTAACAGTGACAAAAGGCACAATTAGTTTTAACTACTTTCATTGGGACCCAAATTCCCAGGTGAAATGAGAAGGTGGCAAATGGTAAAACTGAACTACTTGGAGACCTTGAGAACCTCAGACTCTCTGATGGCCCTGCAGTGCCAGCTGGGATGCTGGCATCCCCAGGAGGACCTACTACATCATCATCATCTTCCTCCTCCTGCTCCTCGTTGTTTGTATGGCGCCAGGAGGGCATGCTCACCAGACGGAGGGTCTTCAGCCCTGCTGGCTCCTTTGGCCACCAACCAAGGCAAAGACACAACAGAGGAACAAGAAATTCACAACAAAAAGATGGAAAGGAAATGAATGCAACATTTAAAAAAAAAAAGGAAAAACAAATATGAAAATACCCTCCCACCTCTGAAAAAGACATAAAACTAAATCAAAATCAGAGCAGATGGTTACATTGAACACTTCTTATGATGAAACACATCTTCAATTCTCCTTGGCCTCCTACCCTCTCTGCTTTCCTAAGTCAACTATGGGAAAAAACATGGTGAGAATAACTGTCAGAGAGATATCTGGATGGTTTTTCGGTGAAGAGATGATATCCTATCAGTATCTCCACAAACACCTAAAGGTTTTCAAAGGTTAGGAAAAGAAATTAGATTGAAGTAGTTTCAACTTATTACATAAGCAATACAACCAAAAGAGATCACTTTTCAATAGCAAATTATTACAAATTCATTAAATGTACCAGACACATTGCCCAAAATATAACTTTGTGAGTGGTGAAGAATAAAGTCCAGCACAATGAAAGTAAAATTCTGATTACTTATTAGATTTATAAATGTGAGCCAGAGAGCAAGAACTAGAAATTAAATGTGCCGGCTATGCTAATAAAAGCTTCTGTCAATTTTAGGCCATTAAAAAATATATAATTAATTCTACTGCAAGGCAAAAAAAAGATACAAAACCAAAACAAAGGGCCCAGGGGAAGCCAAGCCCCAGTCCTAGAAGGAGCTGAATATCATTTAAGCAGTAAAATCAAATGTGCCAAATTCTGTTACTTAAACACAACCAACAATGACTAAGAAAGGCAGGGAGCGGGCTGCTCTTCACAGACTACTTGAGCTATACATCTCTTCAGTTCTCTATTTCTCCAGATATTTCCAGTATTCAACCCTGGACTTTTCTAAATGAAAATTATGTTGTCTATGGCATGAGAGAAAGAATATGAACCACATGGAATCACCTGCTCCCATTAGGCTCAAATATAGAAAACAGTAGGCCTACAAGTGGGTGATTTCCATCCCTGAAAGCAAGTAGAAGAACCATCATTTGGCAAGACAAGAAGCTCAGACAGGATTTGCCCTCAGATATGTAGGTGTTTCCCATAATCAATGTTAAAACATTTTGGGAAGAAGCAGGCCTATTAATTATTTAAGGAGCCCAGATGTTCTATATCCAGGCCTACACTCAGACAACAACTTTGGCAGCTCTCCAAATCTGTGAGACTCAATGAATCACAGAAGGGAGAAAGTGAGATGATTTGGGAAAAAAATAACTTCAAACACCTGGGCTTTTAAATGTAAACTTCATGTCTTTAGCTAAATTTTATGAATACATAAAATTTAAAAAATTCATAATAGATTGGAAAATGAGAGGCGTCTCTACAGACTAGAGTTCTAGGAAGAAAAATACACCTAATTTAAAAAAACCTTTAAACATGAATCTGCTGTTTCTGAAATATTAGTATCTAGAAAATAAAGAAAAAGTAATGCAAAAACATGCAGATATAAAAAGGAATATAACTAATTCCTCACTTCATCAAGAAATAAGAACATATAATACATCAATTTAAATTATATAATTTGTAAATTCTGAATTAGAAATAAAGTCCACTAACATTTCCTTCTACTTCTTCCTCCCACCTAATAGATGAAGCAGTGATGGCTGCTGCCCTCGCACTCAACGAGATAGACAAATATGTCATTTGTGGGGCCACAATTGTGAGGCCATTCATTAGGAGAAGCTCACCAGTTTGATGCCTGAGAGGACCTCCAACAGAGAGATCAGGTTATGGCCATCCCGCAGATCTTCATAAAGATCATTGATGTGCTTGCGGACCTGTGAATGAGAGTGAAACAGACAGATTTTTATTTGATATTGAATTATTATACTATCCACATAAAAATCTCTGGTTCTAGGTAAACACAAATTAAAGAATTTAAAAGTGGAAGAACAATTAAATAATAAAATTCAGAAAGCTTCAGATTGGAGTAAAATACACGTGAAATGATAATACTTTACCAGAAACGTGTGTGTTTTTTAAATTGATTCCAGATCTATTACACACTCTAACCAACATGCAACAATGTCCTAGAAAGTTTGGACAAGAAGATGGGGAGTCTTAATTATCCTGAGACACCTCAGGAATTACTATTAGCCAAAATGTAATAGCATGGCAAATGATGGGTAGATGAGTCCAGCCAGAGGCAGAAAAGCCCTCCAGAGTGCTGCAAAAGAAACTAAATGCTAGGTACCCAATGTTTCCTGGGGTGTACTTCTAATTTAACCCTACTCTTACCAAATATTTCTAATAGTGAATTTGAGAATAATTTTCTTTGTGGGAAATTTGAATTAACTTTAAAATTGAAACTATGGAAAAACAGATCTCACTTTGGGAGAAAGTATGATTAATACCAAACATGGTACTAAATGTTTAATATGTTATCCATCTCTCACATCTCTAAGGTAAGTATTATTATCATTTCTATTTTACACGTGAGGAAATAAGGCACAAAGAGGTTAAGTAACTTGCCCGAGGTCACCAAGTGGAAAAACCGGCCTCAGTTTGGTCTGATTTTAGTCTTTGCCATTAACTACTATGCTTTATAATCAGCCATCATCTCATTTTATTTATTTAATCCAAACAACTACCTTGTGAAGTAAAAGAAACGAAGGAAGCTAAGGTTCTGAGATGTTATGGTCACTTAGCTATAAGTTAAGTGGCAATCGGATTTCTGATTCAGTCCCAGTCTAGTGACAACTTCATTAAGTGATACTCATTGCCAGGTGCAGTGGCTTGTGCCTGCAATCCCAGTACGTTAGGAGGCCAAGGCAGGAGGATCCCTCGACCCTAGGAGTTTGAGACGAGCCTAGCAGTTCAAGATCAGCCTGGGCAACGTGGGGAGACCACTTCTCTACAAAAAAAAAAAAAGGCCAGGCATGGTGGTTTATGCCTATGGTCCCAGCTACTCAGGAAGCTGAGGTGGGAGGATCACTTGAGCCCAGGAAATCAAGGCTGCAGTGAGCTATGATCACAGTTGGCTATACTCCAGCATAGGCGACAGAACAAGACCCTGTCTCAAAAAAAAAAAAAAAAAAGTGAGTTCACAACACAGAATGGGAAGGCTTGCAGAAATTATAAGGAAGACTGATTTTTAATATATTAATTTTCCAGACAACATTAGAAAGGGCTACTTTCAGAAGTAGTAGAATTTCAGTTACTATAATTTTTTGAGTAGAGGCTGGGATTTGGAGATTTTCACATTTGAGTGGAAAACTAAAGTCCTTTCCAATTATAATATTCAAAGTAGCTCTGAAAGTAGAGGGGGAGGCCAGGTGCAGTGGCTCACACCTGTAATACCAGTGCTTTGGGAGGCTAGGGCAGGAGGACTGCTTGAGCCCAGGAATTCAAGGCTCAAGGCTGCAGTGAGGTATCATCGCACCAGTGCACTCCAGCCTGAGTGACAAACCAAGACCCTTTTGTAATGAGGGGTTTCTTTTTTAACCCTGTCTCCAAAAAAAAAAAAAAGGAAAAAAAGGAAAAAGAAACAAAGTAGGATAAGAATGGAAACTGGACAAGATAAAGAATGGAAACATCTGCAAAGACTTCCTTGAAGAAATAGGACTTGGAGAATTAGCAAATGTTTTAGTAGAAAGAAGATGGAAAAACCACATAAGACTAGGCACAGAGATGGACATATGCAAGGTATGTGTGTAAAGAAATAAGAAGGTGACAGGTACATTATACAACTGGGGAAGACGGTTCATGATGAACTGGAACATAGTTTTAAAAATTGAAAGAATATATATATTTTTTGAGACGGAGTCTTGGTCTGTCACTAGGCTGGAGTACAGTGGCACAATCTTGGCTCACTGCAACCTCTGCCTTCTGGGTTCAAGTGATTCTCCTGCCTCAACCTCCTGAGTAGCTGGGATTACAGGTGCGCACCACCACACCCAGCTAATTTTTGTATTTTTAGTACAGATGGGGTTTCACCATGTTGGCCTCAATCTCCTGACCTCGTGATCCACCTGCCTCGGCCTCCCAAAGTGCTGGGATTACAGGCGTAAGCCACTGCGCCCGGCCCACACTTGTAAGTTTAATCTGCAATATTAACATTTTCTCCATCACTAAGTCTAAACAATAAACAAAACAAGACATCTAACTCAGAGTTGTAGAATTTGCTGATTTCCATGATGTAAATATTCCCAATACAACCAATTTCAAGCTACTAATATAATATCACTAAATGCAATGTTGGGAAGAAATGTACAGTAGCACACCATTATGTATAGTATTTCCATCACAGAGACACAACAGACATAACCTCAAGAGCACAGACAATACTAACATGCAGCAAAATAATTATGAAATGAACAGCTTTGAGAATTTATTATGTTTATTTTAAATATAATTTATTTAATTGTATGTTTACATAGTTTAATTTTTAATAATAGCTGTGGCTGGGCACAGTGGCTCACACTTGTAATCCCAGCACTTTGGGAGGCTGAGGCGGGAGGATCACCTGAGGTCAGGAGTTCAAGACCAGCCTGGCCAACATGGTGAAACCCTGCCTCTACTAAAAATGCAAAAATTAGCCAGGCATGGTGGTATGCGCCTGTAATCCCAGCTACTCAGGAGGCTGAGACAGGAGAATCCCTTGAACCTCAGAGGCAGAGGTTGCAGTGAGCCAAGATCACGCCACTGCACTCCAGTTTGGGCAACAGAGCAAGAGTCAGTCTCAAAAAAAAAAAAAAAAAAAAAAAAAAAAAAAAAAAAAAAAAAATGAAGCTGTGTTTAGCAACCAGCTCACAAAATTGCTGAAAATTTAACATTTGGCTCTCATGAGTCCATAAGCTGGCTCTAGCACACCAGGGGCTCCAAGATTTCAAAACCCCTCCCTCTCACACCTGTAATCTCAGCACTCTGGGAGGCGGAGGCAGGTGGATCACCTGAGGTCAGGAGTTCGAGACCAGTCTAGCCAACATGGTGAAACCCCGTCTCTACTAAAAATACAAAAAATTAGCCGGTATGGTCATGGGCGCCTGTAATCCCAGCTACTCAGAAGGCTGAGGCAGGAGAATCGCTTGAACCCAGGAGGCAGAGGTTGCAGTGAGCCAAGATCACACCACTGTACTCCAGCCTGGGCAATAAGAGTGAAACTTTGTCTCAAAAACAAAAACAAAAACCCCTCCCTCAAATAGATTCAAGGTTTCAAGCTTGCAGTGTGGAACAACAGTAGTGCACCATTAACAGAAATAGGTAGGTCATGAGGTTTGTTAAAAAGGCAGTGGATTTGACAAATTCAATTTTAAATATGTTGAATTTAAAATGGCAGCAAAGGAGTTGCAAATGGAAATGTTTTTGAAGCAGCTGGAAACACCAGAATTCAGTTTGGATCAGCTGAGAACTTAAGTTTAGATGTCACATGCACAGAGGTGCTAGCTAAAGACACGGGAAACGGGCTTTCTGGATTAGGAGTAAGATAGAAGAGCAGAGTGCTAAGGACTGAGCCTTAGGGAATAGCCAAAATTAGAAGGCAGGAGATGGAAAAGCAATCAACAAAGGACAGAAGAAAAAGACAAAACAAAACAGTAACAGTGAAAGAGGTAAGCAAAAATGTAAGAAGTGTAATCAAGATAGGAATGATCACCAGTATCAAATACTACAGCAGAAGTCAATGAGGATAAGGACTAAGAAAGTTTTTTAACTTTCCTACAAATAAAGTGCTTTTGTGAGACTATTTCTCAAGAGAGTAGTAGAGTGAAAATCAGATTAAAATTAATGGTAGGTTTTTTAAAAAGTCAGAAAATATTACATACTTGACATTAAGGCTTAAGAAGAGAAGGGACAACTAAGTTAAATGAGGGATTTATTTTTGATAGATAAGATCTGAACACAGGAAATAAAAATCAGGTGAGGACATTGAACGAATAAATAAATAAATGAATAAATATTGATTGACTGATTGAGACACAGTCTTGCCATGTTGCCCAGGCTGGTCTCAAACTCCTGGCCACAAACAATCCTCCCACTTCAGCCTCCCAAAGTGTTGGGATTACAGGCGTGAGCTACCACTCCCAGCCTGAATAAATATTTAAATAAATTGTGGTTGCTAGGCGCAGTGGCTCACACCTGTAATACCAGCAATTTGGGAGGCCAAGGCTGGGAGATCACCTGAGGTTGGGAGTTTGAGACAAGCCTGGCCAACATGACAAAACCCCATCTCCACTAAAAATACAAAAAAGTTGTGCATGGTGGCACATGCCTGTAGTCCCAGCTACTCAGGAGGCTGAGGCATGAGAATCGCACAGGTTGCAGCAAGCCAAGATCGCACCACTGCATTCCAGCCTGGGCAACAGAGCAAGACTCCACCTCAAAAATAATAATAATAATAATAATAAACAAATTGCAGTTGGTCTTGAGGACCAAGTGAGGTCATCTTATCAACAGATATTAAACACCACAGAGTACTGAAAAGACAAAGGAGGCAACTTAAAATGTAAAGTTAATTTCACACTAAGGCCCTAATGTTTCTCAAAATTCTGATTATGTGTTATACCTGTGATAGCAAAACTTGTATATATTATAAGAAATTTAGATGAGAACTAGCTTATTATGCCTTCTCAGTCTTTATCTGACTACAGTAACCAAATAACTATAAAAATAAAACTATTGGCCAGGCACAGTGGCTCATCCCTGTAATCCCATCACTTTGGGAGGTCGAGGCAGGTAGATCACCTGAGATCAGGAGTTGGAGACCACCCTGACCAACATGGTGAAACTCCCTCTCTACTAAAAATACAAAAATTGGCAGGACGTGGTGGCTCACGCCTGT